TTCAAAAGGAAGCTGGTGGGATGCTTTCTTTTACCCAAATTATGTGATCATATCGCTCGGACCCAAAACGGTTGGAAATGAAAACGAAACATTGTTTATAAGGGTGTGGAAATGTAACGGCCCAGGTTCACAACTAGCAGATATTATCCTCTTTGAGCATTCCCTTTCGGGCTTTCCCTCAAGGCTTTAAACGCGTCTGCTACGGGAAGGTTTCCACACGCTTATAAATGGTGGTTTGTTCTCCTTCCCAACCAATGTGGGACATCACAGAAATCTCTCCCTAGCATACTCGTTTTAAAAACCTTGAGTGGAAGCCCAAAGAAAAAAATATATGCTAACGATAGGCTTGAACTGTTACAAATGTTATTATAGCTGGACCCTGAGTGGTGTGCCAGCAAGGACGTGGGCCCCAAAGGGGGTGAATTATAAAATTCCACATCGATTAAAGAGAGGATTGAGTGCCAACGAGGACGTGGGTCCCAAAGGGGGTGGATCGTGAGATCCCACATTGTGTGAAAACTTCTCCCTCCAATATCGTACTTTTGTGAAAATTTATGTAGACTTCATTGTCCCTAACATGTTAGATTGTATGCTAATTTAGCTAATGTAACTACTCAGAGCGCATCACTTACAAATATTGTCTTATTTGTACTCGATTTTATACTTAAGATCACTCGAGTTTTTTTTTTTTTTTTTTTTTTCATTTCAAAGAACTCGTATGGAAGAGAAATATTGTCTTTCCTTTAAATATCACTTATCTTTCTTCATTCTAGAACCTAACAAGCGAGGACTGATATTCATATCTTCTACATCTCAATAAAGCTAAGATACTGTTTAGCGTTCGTTTGTGTATGTCATATTGGGTTGACTTTAGGATATGTTTCGAGAATGATTTTGAAATAGATAAAGTTACTTGAAACATACTTTTAATCATTCAAATTGATGAAAATACCCTTGCAAGCTAATTCAAAAGGCATTTGACAATGAAGAGAGATTCTTGAGAACGTAAAAGGGCAAATTATCATAGATATCTTCGAAATACAAACCAAATGTATATATATACAAATGGGTCACTTTTCAATTATCTATTTCTATTTCATATTACGGAAAAAGACAATAAAACTCTTAGTATCGGTTTGATGGTCAATTTATTTCTGATATAAACTAGACCGTTAGGGTTATGCAGCTGGAGCATAGTCATAACCTCCATCATCATCGTCGTCGTCATCTCCTTCTCGTTCTACGACAGGTGCTAAAGCAGTAAATTTTCTACAGTGTTTGTTATCTTCAAACGAATTGTTCTTCATCATTGAAGCAACAGACTCAGAAACGAGAACCATGTTAAGAGAGAAGAGAGGTTTAAGAGTTTTGATTGAGTTACGAGTAGAGAACGTGGAGAAGGGATTTAAATAGGGAGAGAGTGAAAAAGGTGAGGTTTTAGGGCACAAGGAGTACACGAGGAAGATTGTGGGTAATGGGCAACAAAGAGTGTCCAACACCAACTCTCATGTGGTGTGTTTTAACCCATTGCCCACGTTTGTTCATCAAGTGGGCTCATAAAGAAAGTGAAAGAGGTTCGTAGCATATTTTTTTAGGGACCTACAAATAACAAAAGTAATAGAAGGAATATTTAGTGATCAAAACAAGTTGGTTTGATGCTTTTTTGCCAAAATTGTACAAATTACGAGCGACACGTGATGAAGTTGTTACTACGTTTGAATGAGAATCATCTCGAGAATAAAGAATTATAGATACGAAAAACTTAGAAAAATTGGTAGTTACTATCTATATCAACAAGGTGAATCTTCTTTTCCAATGATTCAATATTAAGAACGTGGGTGACCTTCTGAATTTTGTTTTCTATCTAAAAGGACCCGTGTTTGTTACCACTCAAGCTCACTGTTAGCAAATATTTTTCTCTTTGGACTTTTCCTTTCAGACTTTACCTCAAAGTTTTTAAAACGTGTCGGTTAGGGAGAGGCTAGGGAGAGGTTTCTACACTTTTATAAAGTAGGGACACTAGCCCCGAAAGGGGATGGATCGAGGGCGTCCCACATCAATTGGAGAAGGGAACAAGTGTCAACTAGGATGCTGGGTATTGAAGGGGGGCGGATTGTGAGATTCCACATTGGTTGGGAAGAGAACAAATCATTCTTTATAAGGGTATGAAAGCATCTCCCTACTAGAAGGGTTTTAAAAACCTTGAGGAGAAGTCGGAAAGGAAAAACCTAAAAAATGATAGTGGATATGAGTTGTTAAACTGTTGGTCTATGCATATAATCTTCACTCATAGAAGTAGCTCGAGACAAGAGTAGGTTATTAGTCTATAGTATAGCATGCCTAAGCTAAATGATTTTTCATGAAGTTTTCTTCTTTATACGCTCGAAGACAATATTCATATTTTCAACTAAACCTATAGTTTATCCCGATAGAACCTCATAAAGGAACGGGAGTGAGAGGTTCCATATTGCTAAGTCGAAGGGTAGCATTTTTGTACATGATCATAGTATATCGTGCTTGTTCTTTCTCAAAATTATCTTTTTTTTAAAAAAATATTTTATTAATAAGAAAATGAAAAATAATAAATGTTTGCTAGAAAATAATATTTATTTTTATTTTCTAGTTAAATTTATTTTTTAAGATACATATTAAAATTTATAGATCAAATTGAAAGTAAATTTAGTAAAATAATAATAATAATAATATTTTGAAATTAAATTATATTCCAAAGTAATATTTTCTAACAAATAATTTTAATTATTTTAAAATTTGAAATTGTTTGAAATATTATAATTCTAAAATACTTATTTAATTAATTACGATTCTATTTTGGTTCCAACAAATTATAATCCCACGTCTCTAGCTTACCTCGTACTAATAATTGAATATTATATTATTTGACTTTTAATTAAATATTAAAAAAAGATTTTAAATAATATAAAATTCGAAATATTAATTTGAAACCTTTTGACTTTGAGGGCTAGAAAGCAATAATAATGAAGAAGTATGCATGTGTTATATTATTATTATTCTTTCTATTTCATAAAATAGTCCAAAAGGAAGAGTTCTTTAATTAATTTAATTGGTTAATTTTAATTCACGAGGAGTCGAGCTGCATTGACTTGCTAGAACCTTAGATTTCGTATAATTGATAGCTCTCTTCTTTAAAGCTTATGTCATAGAAGTCGACGCCAGGTTATTGACCTATCTTCTCCTTATTTTTTTGTACGATGTCACTCGACGTAAAAGATACCCGAGTGGGTTGCACCAATCTAAAAAAATTCACCTACTTTCACTTATTTTGTTGAGAAAGATATCGAGAAGACCCGTGATCTATCCGAGCTCCCCACCTTTCTTTGCTTAGTCCATTTATCTTGAATATAATGTATTAAAATTCAAAAATTCAACGTAATAAAAGCTATATGGTTCCAAAATAATAAGTAATAACTGATAAGATAATGAACCGATAACAATCAAGAACAACAATAATAAAGTATATCTCTTTTCAAATTTATATTTCTTAATAAATTCTCTCGTTTTCCAAAAGACGAGACTTATTTTTTTAAAGATAAAAATTAAAAACAAAATGAATATTCATCTGTTCTGTTATTTTTTATTAGGGAAAATTTAAAACGATAAGGTTATACTCAACTCTCGGGTAATAATTTATCCATAAATCAAGCAGCTGGAGCGTAATCGTAAATTGGATCTTCATCATCACCATCATCATCGAAGCATGGCCTTAGATAATATGCATCGATATTGTTATGATTTTCTTCGGTGTTCATCTTAGTAGCATAAATAATGCCGAGATCAGTACCATCATCGTCTCCTTTGTATGAGTCTTTTACGTTCCAACGAACCGCAATCTTAAAAACGATAGACATTTTTTTTAGTAGCGAAGAGAGAAAAGAAAGATTGAGATTTTGAAAGTTGAAAAGGGATGGAAATATTGGAAGCATTGAGTGAGGTATTTATAACATTGAAGGTGAGGGAGAGGAAGAACGAGAGGTTGACTTTAATTTTTCAACCCCACATTAATTGAAGTCAACGTTTAATTTAATTTTTAAAAGTCAATATGAGGAATTTGTTTTTTTTATTTATTTATTTACATTAAATAAAAAACCAATAAGAGTATAAGGTCATGGATTAATGCTTTTAATTTGAAAAATAAATCAATGAGTTGGATTCATGCTTTTCAGGTATTTATAAAAATTTAGAACAAACGACTTTTTAATTAAATCATGAAAAAAAAAGCACTCGTTTACGATGAAATGAACATAAATTATGTTGGTATGAGTGTTATAGTCAAAGCCCACCGCTAGCAGATATTGTATTATTTGCCCTGTTACGTATCATTGTTAGCCTCACGATTTTTAACACACGTCTACTACGAAGAGGTTTCCACACCTTTATAAAGAATGTTTCGTTCTGCTCTCTAACCCCTTGAGGGCCAAGTGTCCTCAGTGGCACAACGCCCCGTGTCTGGCTCTGAACCATTTGTAACCGTTCAAGCTTACCACTAGTAATATTGTCTGCTTTAGCCCGTTACGTATCGCCGTCAGCCTTACGGTTTTAAAATTTGTCTATTAAGAAGGGGTTTCCACACACTTACAAGAAATGTTTCGTTTTCCTCTCTAATCAATATGAGATCGATATGGGATTTCAGAACCATTTAGCATTGGATAGATGAAGTGATAATATGTGATTGACCAAAAATTTCTCATTCAACCATTGGCTCAATTTATTAACAATATTCAAAAATAATAATAATAAAAAAAGGATTGACATTACAAATAAAATTTGGATATACTGGCCCAAGACTACATGGGCCGAGGCCTTGTGTATATGGGCTTCAAGAAGGCCCATCACGAGAACAAAGGAAAAATGTTGGCCCAGTTCTGTTTGTATATAAATACACCTCTGTCTCCCTACAATTTCTCCGATTCGAATCACCGAAAGAGAAACAAAGTAGTTCAGGAAGCACCTATAGTATTTCAATGGCGACGATGGAGTTGGACACCACGCTACCGGAGGCCACACTTGAAGAGACGTGCTCCGCCAAGCCGGCGACGAAGCAAGGCGAAGGTCTTAGGCACTATTATCTTCAACATATTCAGGACCTCCAGCTTCAACTCCGCCTGAAAACTCACAATCTCAATCGTCTCGAAGCTCAGCGAAATGAGCTCAACTCTAGAGGTAACAGTGATTACTCAACCGTAACTCTTCTGTACAACTCTAGGGTTTGGAACTGTAATGCTGGCAGTTTTATGAATTTTCGATGGGGAGTTGTCTTGATCGGGTTTAACCTTGTCAGATCAACGATGATTTAAATTTTTGTGATACTTTCGTGTATTGAAGTTTCCTTTTCTTGGAGCCTGGAATGTTTTTCTTCAATTGTTTTCAATGTTTCAATGAAACTTGAACTAAGAAACTGGCTACGATTCAAAACTAGGGTTCTTGGTGCTTTTAAAGCAGGACATGGACAATTCTTTTCTTTGTTATGCGACGTAGAAATGTGGAATAGTTAGCTGAATCTACCGGACTACTTGAGTTTTTGTTAGATATCAGTACGGTTCGGCAAATCATTTCTTGCATTCTTTGTTATGATCGGGAATGGTTTGGGATTATATTTGTTGATGCTTTAGCCCTTGACTCTCATTTGATAGAACTAGTTGTGTGGGTTGAAATTGTGTAGTGAGGTTGCTTCGTGAAGAACTTCAGCTGCTTCAGGAACCTGGATCGTACGTTGGCGAAGTGGTCAAAGTCATGGGAAAGAATAAGGTTTTAGTGAAGGTTAGTGATTATTCGAAAAGCAACTTATGTTTTCCCTGAAGACGTAACCACTAGTTACATCCACATTTCGGTGTGTGTTATCTGTACCAAGCTATCCATGTTAATTAATAATGGATGTACAGGTGGTGATTTTTATTGTAAGAAGTATTATTCTGAAGGGGTTTTAGCGCTAGGGTTTTCCACAAAAGTGATTGGTAGAATTAATATTGTTTATTGTAAAGGAAATATGTGGTTGGCAACTTCTGTTTATGATGTTTATATCAACTTTGTGCAAAATGATCTCACTTGTATAAACCATGTTTGTTTTGCATAAAGTATATTAGGTTGTGGCTTCTAATTTTTTTCAATAACCACAGTATGACGTTTTCCCCCGTTCTGAGGATTGTGCTTCACATTAAGCTTGCAGAGTGTTTTCTGTTTCTAGTAATTATGACTCCACAGGCACGGGTACTGCAGTGTTGAGCTAGGATTCATAATGTGAAGCTATAGGTCACAGGTGCCTGCTACATTTCTTTTTTGACTTCTTCCGTTTTCTTTACAGGTGCATCCAGAAGGGAAATATGTTGTTGATATAGATAAAAGCATTGATATTACAAAAATCACCCCATCAGCTAGGGTTGCTCTTCGAAATGACAGCTATGTTCTTCATTTAGTTCTGCCAAGCAAAGTCGATCCATTGGTGAATCTTATGAAAGTTGAAAAGGTCCCTGATTCTACTTATGACATGATTGGTGGTCTTGATCAGCAAATTAAGGAGATAAAAGAGGTATCTTTCATCAGTTTGTGTTCCCTGATTGACCTTCATTGCTTGTTGGATGTTGATAAATTCTATCGTGAACTTGTGTTAGAAACTTGTAATCGTTGTGTCATATTTTCCTATTGAATTCAGGTCATTGAGCTTCCAATCAAGCATCCAGAATTATTTGAAAGTCTTGGAATAGCTCAACCAAAGGTAAAGTCTAGTGTGCAGCATGAACTGCTTCTAATTGCTGATTTGTTTTCCTTCTAATCTCACTCATATTTTCTTTCTTAAATCATGCGTAGGGTGTCTTGCTATATGGCCCTCCTGGCACTGGGAAAACGCTTTTGGCTCGAGCAGTAGCACATCACACTGATTGTACTTTCATCAGGGTTTCTGGTTCCGAGTTGGTACAGAAGTACATTGGAGAGGGTTCTAGGATGGTTAGAGAACTTTTTGTGATGGCCAGGTCTGTTTCGTGTTTATTTTAGTATTTGTTTTCAACAATTGAACGTCTTGGATTTTGATTTAAGTTTTCCTCATTATTGTTATTCTTTATGCTCTATGCTCTATGCTTAAATTGCTTGATGAAATATCCCTCAACCACCTAAAGAATAAGTAATAAATAAATATAAGTTATAATTTGATTGTTATCCATGCTGTCAATGGCGGATCCTTATATTCACTAAAAAAAATGAATGGAATGAATGTAATTTTCTTGACTTCTACGATGTTATTACTTCATGCTTCTCTTCCTCAGAATCAGATGTATTTTTTTACTGTCAACTTATGGAACACATTTTTTAATACCTTACTGCAGGGAACATTCTCCATCTATCATTTTCATGGATGAAATTGACAGTATTGGGTCAGCTCGTATGGAATCTGGGAGTGGTAATAGTGATAGTGAGGTGCAGAGAACAATGCTAGAGCTTCTTAACCAGCTGGATGGATTTGAAGCATCAAACAAGATCAAGGTTAGTTTTGCTGGATTTATAGATTTTCTTTATAAGAAGAATTAGAAACATGTTATGGTTGTGGTTTTGGTGTACTAACTACCAGTGTATCAACAGGTTTTGATGGCCACAAATCGAATTGATATTCTCGATCAAGCTCTTTTGAGACCTGGACGAATAGATAGAAAAATTGAGTTCCCAAATCCTAACGAGGAGGTACACAACAATGTTAAATGTCATTGGTGAACAGTTTCCTCTTCACTTCCTAAACGTTTTTCTTGTGTTTCTCTTTAATAACTTTTATTTTTGTATCTTATCGGATATATTCGGAGACAAATTGTTTATATGAAGTCTATTTTAGTATGATTACATTTGGGTATTTTATTTCTGCATTGCAGTCACGTTTCGATATCTTGAAAATACATTCAAGAAAAATGAATTTAATGCGGGGGATTGATTTGAAGAAGATTGCTGAGAAGATGAACGGCGCATCCGGTGCCGAACTCAAGGTTCTGTTAGATTTTTAAGCAAGACTCTTCTGTTTTCTGCTTCAAGTGTTCTTCAAATATTGATCTCTCGTTCATTTGCAGGCTGTTTGCACAGAAGCTGGAATGTTTGCTCTAAGGGAAAGAAGGGTTCATGTGACACAGGAAGATTTCGAGATGGCGGTTGCGAAGGTAATGAAGAAGGATACAGATAAGAACATGTCGCTGCGAAAGCTCTGGAAGTAGTAGATCGGAGTTACCGTTCTACTCGACCCCATTTGAGTACCTATCCCTGTTTGGGAATCAAAGGACGCGCTGTTGGCTGTGATAGCAATTCAAAAGAATCTTCCCTCCATGTAAGTTTCTCTAAGCCCTTACACTCAAAACGCGTCGTCCTATTCCCCTGTTTGAAAAGTGTAATTACTTTAGAGGACCCTCTTGAGCTGTCTGAGCTGTCTTATACATTTTTTCCTGAAGGGCATTTGTACTTTCTTGTCCTCATTCTTCTACTTTCCAGGTCTTCGGTTGAAAAATGGCAGCATCTTTTTCTTTTTCTTTCTTCTTTTTTTTTTTTTGTTTGTTCTCTTTTCTCGGGTATGAAAATATTGATAAAATGTTAATGTGAATGGATAATTTTTGTTTTACAATATTCGACCCCTTGTGTCGATGCTGAGCCTATAGAGATGTCGATGTCGACGATCATCTAATTCCCAGGATACAAGTCTTTTAAGTTTTCTTCCTTAGAAATAGTATTTATTCAACTTTGTTTTGCTAGTAGTGTCACAGGCCTTGAGAATGACACCCTTTGACCTGGTCAATTATACACTAAAGATAAATAGGGATGATATTTTTGTGAAGACTTGGCTATTAATTATTATATGTTAATTGCATGTGGGTTTGGTCAATTTTGAACATGCATTTTGTCATTATTAGGCGTCTTACGTCAACTGCCCTTTTTAAGGATAAAACGTTTTGATTGGTAAATCATTGGGTCAAAAAGCAAATGCTATGAACATAAATACACTAAAGTAGTTTAATCTTTAAATACAATTAAGAAATTTACTTCTCACCCAGTAACTAGAGGTTGAATCTTCGGACTAAGAGATCGGTGATTGAATGTCCAATTCTTTATTTACTCTCGATTAAGAGATTAGGTTAGGATTTCATACTCTCACTTACATTTAACGAAGAGAGCAATAGTTGAATCTCCGTATCTTTACTTACTCTCGATTAGGAGATTAGAGGTTAGATTTAATCTTTGTATGCTCACTTACTCCCAATTAAGAGATCAAAGGTTGAACTCCTAAACTTCACGTACTTTTTATTGAGAGATCAGGTTGAATTTCTATGTCCTTACGTGCTCGATTAAGAGATCAATGATTGAATCTTCCAACCTTCTTCTAACCTTCCCTTATTTCGAAATAAGAGATCTAGTTGAATTTTAGTACATTTGGTTAAGATATTAGAGGTTAAATCTCCAAACAAAGAGATTATTACTGTTTTTATTTTATTTTATTTTAGATGTATTATTTATCATCGGGTTTTGATAGGTGAATGATTGTTGGTGAAAAAGAAAAATAATAAATTATGGTATGGATTGCGGCCTCCCATCCAACTGCATGAAGATGATTGAATTTATTTTGCCTTTGACTTTTTGGTTGCCTAAATACTTATCTCTATGCAATAAATGTACATTTCTTTACCAAACTATTCAATTATTTTTAATAATTGTATTAGGTATTTGTTTAAACAAGAGTGAAATTCTTATTTGTCAATTTGTTTATAATTTTTTTTTAAAGAATATTTACAAAAAAAAAAGAAAAAAGAAAAAAGAAAAAAATGTCCCCACTTGCTATGTCATGGAACCTTCCATTTATTTTCCAAAAAGAAAAAAAAAAAAAAAATTATCATTCAATCACACCACAACAAAACCCAATTCCAGATCTCGAAAACCTGTTTGACTTTCAAATCCCCAATTTTTAAAAATTGGATTCCACTGAAAACCAATCTTTCAATCCCTTATTCTCCTGGAAAACATGTTCATATCAAGACCTCAAAACAATCCCCTCCAATGGCGGCGCCTCTGGTTCTTCCTCTTCCTCTTCCTCTTCCTCTCCCACCTTCTCCATTTCTCCCATGCCGATCTCGGCACCGCTTCCAGATACCCCCCGCCCTATTCCCGTAAGAACCCCCCGCTTCGATTTCCAACACCAAGTTCCGGTTTTGAAATTTCGGGATTCTGACTTTTGTTTGTTTGTTTGTTTGTTTCCGTTTGTTGCAGCGACGGAGTGTTTTGGTGGGGATTTGACTCAGTTCCCGACCAGCAACCTCTTCGCGGCTGCCGGAGACGGAGTTTGGGAGAACGGAGCAGCATGTGGGAGACAGTATTTTGTTAGGTGTTTCAGTGCGTCAGAGCCGGAAGCCTGTGTGCCTGATCAGACTATACAGATTACGATCGTCGATTACGCTCCGTCGATCGTTTCAGTTCCGACGGCGACCGGAACTACGATGATTCTGTCGACGACGGCGTATAATTCCATTGTTAATACCTCCGCTACTGTCAATTTCGTGACCGTTGAATTTCTGCAGTAATTTTCTCCACTCTGTTCTGCTTTTTAATGGATAAAAATTGCAATTTCTTTTTTTAAAATGTTTGATAATTTTTTTACTTGAGTTGACTTATAATTACAGTGTCTCAAAAATAATTTTGAAAACCCCCTTTTATTTACTTAATAATTTTCTTTTATATAAAATTATTATCCAAAAATTTAAGTTTTTTTTAAAAAAAATAAAATTTAAATATTTAAAAAGTTATTTCAAACATTGGTTGCTTGTCATTGTTGTAATATTTATGTGGTTGTTGATGCAGGGTATGATGGGTAAAGGTTTGGAGAGACTGGGATTGCTACCAAATTGTGAGTGATATTAATGCAAATTCTTGTATTTTAAATTGTAATATCCATGCTCCAACAATAATATCAATAATAATATTCTTTTCGTATTATTGCATTTACATTTCTAGTTAGTAACAAAAATCACCCTAACCCATTTTCTATTTGCATGAAGGAATTGATTTTCGGGTTGAGTTGGTGCAAAAAAGATAATTCACGAGACCGGTTTCATTCACTTTCGTCTTATATTTAGGTTGAGGTAGATTGGGCACCGTACAATTAGACCAAATAAAAACAATCAATTAGAACTGGTTTCAAGAATGGTTGGTTTAGTGCCATCTCGAAATAGGTCAATATACTCAACTAAAAAGTCTAATGTTCATAAGTTGAAAAATAAATATGATAGTTTAAACGTATTTTTTAAACAAAATACTAATCGTTCTCATCCAAAACTAAGACATTTCTTAAACTTCTTTTTATAAAAAATTTAAATGTATTATTTAGAAATATTTTTATTAATGTAGCAAGTCAATAGTCATATTCGATATATATTCAACTTGGTCGGGAAGAGCATATTGTTATGAGAATCTCTTTTTATGTTAGCAAGAGGGAGTAGACTTTCCTATGGTAGTCCCGCTACAGCCTCTAACCATCAATCCCGTCATCTTTCTCTGGCTAAGCTAGTCATGTTATTAGCTTCACCTAAGAACATTTAGAGAAAGGATAAGAAGACACCCGTCATTCAGCTCAACCCCTAAAGAGAATAGACATCTATACCAACTACCACGAACAACCATATTTAGAAACAACTCGAAAATCCGGCCAACTAAAAATGTTATATATATGGAAAAATGTTGAAATAGGTATTTTTGTGCAATAGAAATTAACTATTATTATGATATCTTTTTTTGGGTATAATTACAAATTTAAAAAGCCAACCAATTCATCGCTTCATTTTCACAAGCTCCCCAAAAAAATGACCACCAATCTACTCGTCTTCCGCCCCATCGGAATCCGACCCTCTGCCAGCGCCGGCACCGGTCACCGGAAACCAGATCCCCAACGCCATTACAGGCCCTGGTGGAAACCTTGCCCGCCGAACAAAATCACCGAGGGCGCGCAGCCAGATCCTAATTCGGATTCGAATTCGAATTTGGCAGAGAAGGCAGCAGGGAGCCGATTCTCTCCCGGTTGCTTAACGGCAGAGAAAGCGAGGCAACTCCGAATTATGACATCGAAAACTGATTGTTTTCAGGACGGAATGTACCATTCGGGCGTCGCATCTCGGCTGGCTTCCGATTTCTCAAACACTAAGAATGATACCGGAAAATAGATTAAGAGGAACGGGCAGAAGAATGTGAGATTCCGGTGGCGGTGATTCATCGGGTACCCATCTTATAATAACATGTAATTAGTAAAAATGGAATCTGATGAACATATCCATAGTATTATCCATTTACTAAGGCCTTTGTTAAGTAAATACAATTATTTACTTTTTTTTTTATTGAAATATTAGTCGGTTCGCCTAAATTGGGTTCGAGTAACTCTTATTAAATAACGAATCCGATCATAAAATATTAAATTTTGCCATTCAAATTTAATACAATTATACTCTAAAACTTAAATTCATTGTTCCAGTAATAATAATAAAGAAAAAAAAAGCAAAGACATTAAAAAAATTATGAGAATTATTGGATAAGGAAAAGAAAAAAAACTCACGGCATCATCATGATCTGATCATGTGGAGGTGGGAAATTGAGTTCACTTGCTCTCAGCATCATAGATATCACTTCTGAATATAACCCATCAAGGAACACAACACAATTATGAAATAAAACAAACAAAAATGATGTTTATACTCAACAATACAATGGTGGAAGGAACCGAACCGAACCGAACCGAAAATCTGACTGGACCTTGGTCAGTACGGTTCTCAGTTTTGATCAAACAAAACCGACCTTTCTTTCTCAAATTCAACCCTTCTCCTTCCTCTCGAGTTTTTCCTTTGTCTCACTTAGTACTCACAGTCACTGTTAACTACATACTGTCATGATCATACTTGTCCAAGGCGTGTTGCCTAAGGTTGCACGACGGTTGTCCTGGTCATGCTTGTATAGGACGTGTTGTCCATGGCTGCATGCTTGTTCCAAACCCCTTTTACTTGCTTCCATGTTGATAGGGCTTTACTATATGAGGATGTATGACCGGTTACCAAAATCATGTTTACACATGACAAGATTAAAATGACCCAAAATGTACTATAAGAGATTTGACTAGTTGTCACTTTCCTACTCAGGTTATATGCTATCAAAGTCGACATTGTTCCCTACTCACTTTTAGCTTATAACATTGTGTACAACGTATGACCTTGCTCACGTTTTCCAAAATATTTCTCTCAAACATGACTCGAGACTCAAGCATACGCCAATATTGTCCGCGAAGTCTGAATTTCACACGGTTGACTTGTTCATTGAATTAGAACAAGTGTTACACAATCACTCTCCTGTTACCACAAAACTGCGATTGTGACACATAACTCCTATGCCGTCAACTCTCAGTCTCCATGATGTAGCTAAAATCGACATCAACCTTATTTTCATCTTGATCTCTCTAACGACAATCGTCTCTTTTCAGTGAAAACGAACTAGGTGGGGACGGGTCGATTTTGTATGAAACCCGACCTGAGCCAACCCATTATACAAACCCTTTTAACTTTTGGAATAGGAAAAAGTGAGTTTCATATTCTCATACCTTCAGCTAATTGAGCTACTCTCATTAAAGGGATATTTGGGTTAAGAGGCCAAACCTCCCATGGTTGGTGCGTTGTTCTATAACTCATTCATCTGCTTAATTCAGATTGCATAACCTTAATAGCAGAACCGCGCAGCTTGTTCTTTAACTTGCATTCAGGATGTTACCCTGACAATAAGCAACGGCCATTGATGTAATAGCTAGTCCCTTTCGCACTTCCCCTCTCAAGGTCCTTAAAATGCGTATGCTAAGGAGAGGTTCCACACTCTTATAACAAATGTTTCGTTCCCCTCTCCAACCGATGTGGGATCTCACAATCCACCCTCCTACAGGACCCAACGTCCTCACTGGCACTCATTCCTCTCTCTAATCGACGTGGGATCTCACAATCCACCCTCCTTTGAGGCTCAGTGACTTTGCTGGTACAACGCCCAGTGACTGACTCTGATACCATTTGTAACAATCCAAGCCCACCGCTATCAGATATTGTCCTATTTGGGCTTTCCCTCTCAGAGTTTCCCTCAAGATTTTTAAAACGCGTCTGCTAGGGAGAGATTTCCACACCCATATAAAAATATTTCGTTTCCCTCTCCAACTGAGGTGTGATCTCACCATTGAAATCACTAGCTTCTCTTAAGACCTATGAACACACCTCAGGAGCCATCAAAGCCTTCATCCCTGGACAATCCTTTGTACACTAGATCAACAACATTCAGAAACCCAACAAATTTCTCTCATGAAGTCACAAAGAAAAACTCCATAATTAAACACTAACCTCCCTTTATATATATCCACGAATGTCTGAGCCAAATTGTACACACCTCTACTATACTTACAAGACAACTATTTGTGTCAGGAACCACGAATCTCTACAATAGTATGATGTTGTCCACTTTGAATATAAGCTCTCATGATTTTACTTTTGGTTTCCCCAAAAGGTCGGGACTCCTCTCTCAACAATCCTCCCCTAAAAAAAATACACCATAGAGCCTCCCCTAAGGCTTATGGAGCTCACGAACAGCCTCTCCCCTCAATCAAGGTTCAACTCTTTCTCTGGAGCCCTCGAACAAAGTACACCCTTTGTTCAACACCTTTGAGGCTCACAACTTCTTTGTTCAACATTTGAGAATTCTATTGACATTACTCAGTTAAAAGCATAGTTCTGATACCATGGTAGGAACTAGATGTATTCCAATTTATAAACCCATGATCCACCCTTTAATTAGCCGATTCCACATCTTACACGTCTACTAAAATACTATTCTAGAGAACATAAATGGTGGGGAAACCATAACAATTCTCGAACAAGAAGACACACTTTTAAGAAACAGCGGATGCAGATCATCAACAAATGAACAGAGAAACATAGAAATCCCAAGATTCAAGAATTGACATTCAATATGATATGATCAACGATTAAAGTAGATACAAGAGTTTAAAAGGATACACCAGGTAAAAGCCATGGGCAAAAGCACCAGCCAACACCGCCGTGAACAGCCGATCCCTCACAACAGGGTTCTTCCGCAGCGCAATTCTGACTGAAAAGAACAAATAGAATCACGTTCGAACAAAACCCAGATGGAAAATCATTACAAAATCTGGAAAAAATGAAAACCCCAGAGGATTAAACTTACTGAGAGGAAGAACAGGGGCATAAACCAGAGGAACCAAGAACTTGATTGGAGCTGATCGCTTCTTCGGAACACCCTCCCTTTTCAACACCAAAGAAACAGATGGGAGATTCAGAAAATCAACGCTAATGGGAATTAAAACGAATCGAACACAGAAGAATTGCTCGAGGACTGACCGAGAATTGGAATCGAAGGGCGCGGCCATGGCGGAGGCGGAACCGGCGGCTGTCAATTTGATGGCGGGCGGCGGCTATTAGAAAATTAACTTCACCCTCAGCACACTGGAATAGAAACTGGTAATTAGTTTCCTTTCATCGACGATCCACACGGTTTTCTCCTTTTTTCTTTTTTCTTTTTTAAATTAAAAATCAAAATTTTAAAACTGTGAACATATTAAAGTTTAAAACTTTTTTAGCCTAGACTTGAATTACGAGTATTTGAACTTAGCGTTCCAAAAAAATCATATTATTCATGGTGGTGACATACAATTTTGGAAATTGTAATCATCGATATGTTCCATTTTACAGAGTAAATTACAATTAAAGTGTTTCTAGTTAGTAATCATCTATCAACAATATATGTGATGTACAAGTAAATGAGAGGTATATAAATAAATCAAGACAATATGTGAATGAGAGCAATTCCAATAATAGGATGACTAAAAAAAACTTCAAAAATTGAAAGTCAGATTCCTAAACCAACAAGGTGCATTTTCTTTATCAGTGGCTTAATGATAGGAACTCTATGATTAAGCGTGCTTTGTGTCACAATTGCACTCTTGCTGCATGGGATAGCGATTGTGCGGTACTTCTTCTAACCTAGTGAACAAGTCAGCTGTGAGAAATTCGAATTTAGCAGACAACGTCGGTTCAAAACTTGAAAGAACGTTTGAAAGTCGTTATATGGCTATAAGCAAAAATAGAACATTACAGCTTAAATATCATATAACTTGAGTAGAAAAAATTGATAACTAGTCGCATTTTCCTATGTTACATTTTAGGACATTCTAGCCCTAACGGGTGTAGACATGATTTTGGTGACCAGTCATAAATCATGTAAAACGGGTTTGGAACGGGCATGCAACCATGGACAATATATCCTAAACAAGCATTATTAAAACATCCAACATACGTTCATAGACAAACGTCTTGAACAAACATGGTCGAAACACTTTACTCCACTTACTCTTGGGTTTACCCTCCAAATCCCCTAACCAATACCTCCCCCACACTCTCGTTATCATCATCCTTAGCCCATCAAAGCCCCATTCTTTCTCTTTTCTTGCAATTATAGGACTTGTCCTTGTCGGTGTCGGCTTCAACCCACATCCCAAAGCTTCTAGCTTTTTTGTTATGCCCACTACATTGTCGGACAAGGCTTTGATTTATCCTAAAAAGATCTATGCACCCAAATCCTAAACTTTTAAATAATAATGGATCCAAATAGGGTTAGATCGTTTGGTAATAAAAACTTTATTACAAGCACGGTTTATAATAGAATTATTCAAAATGAGTGAAACCTAACACGATTCTTGAGCTATAACATGTTTACCATATGTGGGATGGATCAAAAAAGGACGGTGCCCAAAAACCTAGAGGGTGGAGATGTCAGCTCATTACCCTAACAAAAGTTAAAGGTCCCAAAGTGAAAGAGAGAGTAAATAAAATGGAAGCTTTTTGAGGGCAAAATGAGTGGTTTTCAGTGTAGTGGCATTGGACAATCTTTGGGGTATGCCCTAAAAATGATGTCCATGGTCCTTCAAATGGGTCTAATTTGTTTTACGACATGAACCTGTTACCTATTTTTTGTTTCTTAAAAGTAAAGATTATCTCCACAAATCAACATGAGTTCTTCCAATATATTTTGTCCTCACTCGAATCCTAGAAAAATTCCTAGAAAGTCACCCAATATAAAATTTCTCTAAGTAAAGAAAAATGCATTTTATTAATATAGGTAGTGACTTTCAATTCTTTTATGTTGTCTTAGTCATCCTATTTTTAGGATTACTCTCATTTAGACGTGATCTTGGTTCATTCATATACTCTTCCTTTACTCCTTTACTCGGTCATCACACTTATAGTTTGAAATTGGTAAAGCTTCGGTAACAGCTCAAGCCCACCGCTAGCAGATGTTGTCTTCTTTGTACTTTCCCTTTCGGGCTTTCCCTCAAAGTTTTTAAAACATGTCTGCTCGGGAGAGGTTTCACCTTGAAAAATAATGTTTCGTTCTCCTCTCCAATTGATGTGGGATCTCACAGCTTCTCTCCATAAAAATCATCGAAGTTTGGAAACAATTTAGTAGAGCCCATATTGGTTTGTGTTACGTATTTTCATAGGCCATGTTGAGCCCTTTTTTGCTGGAAGATTGGGACTTAAGGAAAACAGGCCATCATGGGTATTTTCATACAAAACCCACAAAATTTTATGAGGGAAATCATATTTTAAAAGTTAAAAAGTAGAGGAGAAGTTAATGGGTAGGGTAAGGAAACATGATGATAAGAGAAAGAACAATTGAATGAAGGTTGTAATATCATGTTGTGGAAGGAGATAGCATGTGGGAAGTCATAATCTAGAGGATATCAAGCACTTGTCACTCTCCATACCTTATATCAATTATTGCTGATGCTAACTTAGGGCGGCCTTTCTCTCGTTACTCTGAGTTCATAGTTCCATTTCCCATCAAAACGAGATATTTAGCTCACAAGTCTAGAAAATTTGAGGTCGTATACCTTGAAATTGAACAGTTTTTATATATGGATAGGTACGTATGTTTCTTTTCCATGAAGATTGAGAGACGTTGTTTCTCGTAAGGACCTATCTTAAATGAGATAGTGGAGATCGGGTGGAGACCATGATAGAGAATACGATCCCCTCCCTAACCCTTTTTCTTACGTATTGTTTTAGGCACAAAATAAAAAACTCGGACTAAACTTTGTAATTTAAACCATGATTAGGTTAGTAACTACAAATTATATGTCAAATTTTGTTATATTTGATGAAGATTTGAGGGAGTGGTGAAAAAGGGGAGAGCTTTCTTTTTGTCTGCTTAGGCCAAACATTAAAGAGGATAATGTTTGAAGGAAGTGTTGAGCTTTTGTGTGTCCCTCCAATGATTTGGTTGGTCACTCCTATGTTTCTTTACCTTTTTTTTTGGTCTGTCTTTTTATTTATTTATTATTATTATTATTAACATATTCACGGAGTGGATAAGACACTAAATATACGGTTGGTCCAAATAAGACATTTTCTTGTAATGCGAGACAGTTCTTTCAGCATGTTTTGTTCTCACTCACAAGAGTAAGATTACTCCAAGATAAGTACGTTTAATCTTGAAGTTCTTAGAGTTAAAACACCAAGTTAGATTGAGTGCATTGGTCGGTAATTTAAATGCTTACTTAAAAAATATCACGATTTTCCAAGGTCGGTAAGCCTAACAAAGGATTAGGGTTGTTTCATTTGTGTAAGACTCAGAGCTATCAAATCAAGATAAACTGAGCGCGTTGGTCGCATATGACAGGTGAAGTTTCCTTCTTACCTTGTGTGCTTCATACATTCAGTGTTTCGTTTTTCTCACGTGATAGGGTGCCCTAAAGCCAAGTGCTTACTTCAGTAATGATCCTGACCGTTAGACCATCTCCTTTACAATTCACCTGTTATATCAACGTTTAATTCATGAACTTATAGAAATATCGATAAAAATTTAGACCTAAGAACGTATCCGTTATAGTAATCGAGAGGTAAAAAAGTAAAAAAAAAAAAAAGAAAGAAAAGAAAAGAAAAGAAAAGAGAAAAGGGCATGATGGTGGCAGTGAAACCTCATTAGAAAAGATGGGTTTTAACTGAAAAAGTGAAAAAAGGCATAAAAAGTACAGATTCTTCGCTTTCCTCATCATATTCTCTCTTTATATTTATATAACTTTTCTGCCAATTCTCAGAGGTTGTTATCTTTGTACTCAAAAATCTCACCTGATTCCTTCTCCTTTTTAGATTCTTTCCTTTTTTTTTTTTTTTTCAAAAAATAAAATTAATAATTTTACAAGAAAAAAAAAGGTAAAATTTTTGTTTTATGCTCTCGTTTTTTCTAGTATAACAGAGATAATGATTCGTTTCTTATGTCGATGTCGAATTCACGAACATATCACAACAAATTTCAAATCTTGTATTGAATCTTTGTCACATATACCTTACTTGTCTTTACCTTTCTTAAAAGGGTTTGGATGCATATCTATTACCTTTCGTGCAAAATCCCGAACCCTTCTGAGAGGTTTATAATGTGACTCTCACAATCCACCTCTTTCGAGCCCAGCGTCCTTACTGGCACATAGTCCGGTGTCTGACTCTAATACCATTTGTAACGGTCTAAGCTCACTGCAAGTAAATATTGTCTTCTTTCGAGTTTTCACTCAAGGCTTTAAATGGATCTGATTGGAGAAGATTTTCACACCTTTATAAACCGTGTTTTCTTTTCTTCAATTAATGTGGACTCTCACGGAGAAGAGGGTCGTTGATGAAAAATGGATGGTGGAGATTTGTTGGGGGAATTTTTGTGGTTGATTCAAAGATTTGACAATTGGCTGCAAACATTAAAAAAGACAGTGTTTGCAGGTGTGAAGTAGTTGTCACAGACATGGGAAAAAATTCCAAAAATAAAACAAAAATATTCCATTGGGAAATTCTCAATGTTATGGTGTGGTGATTGATGTAACCATACAATGAGAAAAGATGATGGATTTTTGTGGCAGAATGAGTGAAAGTGGAGTTCAATTAGCTTACTCTACCTTCAACATCATATGTTTCTATCAAAAGTTGTTCAAATTAATTTTCAAATCTATTGCCCTACATTGTGTACCTTTTTTCTTAGGTTTCTCGATCAAAACCTTAAAACGTTCAAGTAAAGTGTTTTCGCTGTTGGTGTTCTTTTCAATCTCTAGACACTCTCCTCTTTCTGTTGATCATATGTGCTGTGAGATTCTACATCAGTTGGAGATGAAAACGAAGCATTTCTTGTAAGAGTGTAGAAATCTTCCCTAAGAGACGTGTTTTAAAATCATGAGTCTGACGATGATATGTAATGGGTCAAAACGGACAATATTTACTTGCGGTGGACTGAATTGTTACAAATGGTATCAAAGTCAGTCATCGGGCGGTATGGCAACAAGGACGTTGAGATCACAAGGAGTGTGGATAGTGAGATCCCACATTAGTTGGAGAAGATAACGAAACATTTCTTATAAGGGTATAGAAACATTTCCCTTGTAGACGCGTTTTAAAACAGTGAGACTGATGGTGATACGTAATGAGCTAAAGCGGACAGAAGAGTTGCTTAGTAGCACAAA